GAAATAGATTTCATTTAATAGTCATTGCACGTTGTAGCATTTTTTTCTTCTTATGCCATTTCTTCCAACATGTGCTCGTCTCGTGAATGGCATATTGAATGGCGGAAAAGATGGAAAATTTGCATTCACACCTTGGCCCTAACTGAAACGAAGAGAAAAGTGATCACGCTGTTACCGCATTACCAGTCAAAGTGTTATTTTTCTTCTTTTGTCAGACGAGCGCATGAGATTGAAATAAAACGAATACGCTACTTTTTTTCTCACTTGAATATTTCTTTCACATTAGTTCCGTTCACATTTTTTAGCTACGGTTATAGAAATTGCAGCGAAATAATGCGAAGAAAATTTGAAGGGTATGCCGTAAAAAGAAAATGAGACTGATAACATTAAATTATTTCCAAACGAAGTGAGAAGCGAGGAACGATGAAGAAATATTAATTCAAGTTGCTGTGAAAACACGAACGAGGAAACATTCTAATAGTGAAACGTTTTGTGGCAAACTATAAGTTATGTAGATGTCGAAGTTTTTTTATTGCGCTTTTTTTCTTGCTGTCGCTGGCCAATGCTCCATTTTTTCCCATACTGACGGCTGAAGAAGATTCTGACGTTGATAATAATGTATTTGTTGCACGCAAAAATGTAATCGTTGAATAGAAGAATCCAGATGCTTGCAGACTCTCGTATCTCTCAATCGGAATGATATCAGTGGAGAATTTTGCCAACAAAAAATCGTAAAAAAACTGTTGTCAGAGTGTGTTGAATGTTCATCCCAATGTAATTTAGAAGCTTTCAGAAAAGATGAATTGATTGAATGCATAACAGCTAGGATAAAAGTGCATTATTTGGCAAGAAGCACCCATCATTATTCAACACATTTGCCTTCGAAATTGAATCAAAATCAATGCAGAAGAATCAACTAGAAAAACTTGTGCACAAACTATAATCAAAATTGGTGCTGTGAATTAATGGAAGTTGGAGATTTTTCCTTTGGATTCGAATTGCAGCATTGATAGTACATATCAATGAATCTAGTATCACCGACCCAAATCGGAAATCACTCAATTTTTGCAAGTGGTTTTCTTTCTCCCCTTTGTATTTATTTGACTCCGTTAACCAAACAGTTGGTTGCTTCAAGAGATCACAATTTGTTTTCTTCTACGTTAACAAATGAACTATTTTGTATGCGAATCCAATAAATGAATGTGATGTTCTCGCTGTCTATTTTTTTCTTCGAATTCTACCTTGTGCTACAATCAATATACTTGAATATCAAGTGAAATGTACTCGAAATCCCGAGTGCTAACATATGCACACTCTCGCCCAATTCAAATGCCGTTGAATCCAGCTGAATATCATCACAGCAACGAACAAGCAAATTGAAATGTAACAAAAAAAATATAATGGAAACGCCAAAAGCAAGTAATAACCGGTGTCGACATTACTTCATTTCAATTCACGACACGAATAACTAAAGATGCATTTTTCAAACGTCGACGAATTGGCTTACAAGTGATTTGTCTGATGTGAATCGTTTGCCAGTTCAAAAAAGGAAAAAATGAAACGGAAAAATCTGAATCGACGAGATGGTACAAAGGAAACATTTTCATAATTTGCATTGCTTCCCTCTAGCTGCGACGTTAAGTTGATGCGGCACGAACGTATCTTTTGATTGAATCGTGGCAGAAATGGAAGCATGGGAATGTTAATCGAGAACGCGGAGTCAATAAACGGCGCGTAAAACGTGACGGCATATCGAGAGGGAAAAAAATGTATGATGAAGAGACATCAATAGCGAGAGAAAGTGACAAAAATAGAAAACCAACACCGACTTTGAATGGATTCGATATTGATTGGCAAAATTGCAGTTGTTTGAATTTTTTGTAAGTCTGCCCTTTTTCAAAGTGATCAACTTCAATATAGAGCACAAAATCTCTTGTCGACAATACAGTGACAGCGTGTGTGTATTTGTTTTCGTCTTCGTTTTTCTATTTTTAGCACTACATGGAATGTAGAATACATGGAATATAGGCTATTGCATTTGTTTTTTTTCCCAAGAAATTTTTAAGACTCTTTAGGCCTTATTTTTGGACCGAAAATTAACTCTTCTTTCTATCCAAAGTTCTAATTTGAAATAAAGCAATACGTCTAATTTCAAAAATATAATAATGTCATGTTCATGTAATTCATGTTTGAGATAACTCAAAAAAAAAATTTAATATTATTTTAATTCTCAATGTGAACTAATGTACAATCCACGTTCACATTATCGTTTCCAAAACTAAAATAAAATAATTAATTATACCATAATCTTAGCACAATCGTAGATGAAGACAGTGAAAGGAATTGATCTGATTTAAAGAGATGAGTGGAAGCGGAGGGGTTGGAATAATCAAACGCAAAAACAACTTGAAATACAGAAACTATTCTCCGTGAAATCGACAAAGGATAACGAATGTGCGTCGTCATCATTAAAGAATTCGCAGAGCGAGCGGTTGCTCGACAAAATCAATGAAAACTGACAATTTTACAATGAATCTTCCTGATTTCAAAGAGATTAAGCACAATACTTTTCCGTTGCTTAGTGATGATTGTGATTTTTTTGTTGCCCTTGACAACAAAGACCTCTATTTCACTACAATGATTGTTCGGATCCAAAATCGTGATTGTTGCTTCCCATTTACAAATAAACTAGTCAAACGCTGCTTTGCAAAGCTATTAAATTTTTATTCCGCGTATAAAATCGATCTGAAGTGTATTCCTGCTGCACTTTTCATCGCGCACTACCACAATTCAACACCATCAATCATGGTCGCTCATCACAGTCACCAAACTAACAAGCTCCAAACAGTTAATAGTTTGTTGGAATTAGTTCAAATTTTTATAACATAAAAAATCAGAGATTGCATTTTTGCTGCTGAGTAGGCCTGAGCTGAGCTGAATTTGCTAACTCAGGCGCCTGAAGCGTTATTTTAACGCATTCACAGTACAAAATTCATATTCCCAGCCAGATTTGCCAAGTCAAATTTGAGGCTGATCTGGCTGGGAATATGAATTTTGCGTTAAAATAACGCTTCAGGCGCCTGAGTTAGCAAATTCAGCTCAGCTCAGGCCTACTCAGCAGCAAATATGCAATCTCTGTAAAAAATTGTTCTGTGGATTTAAGAGAATGTTACAAAACACGAGTCGTGTGAGAAAATTTCACCCTAAAGATGCTTCAATCAAAGAAATTGTCAGGATGAATGCAAATACCGTGTCAAAATTAAAGTAAAAAAATAATGTAATAAAAATTTAAAAAAATATGATGAATATATCAAAAGCATTTAATTGCGATTTTCAAACAAAAAAACCAAAAAGTCCAATAAACGCGTTCATTAAGATGAAAAAGTTCTAATGAGATTTGCCATCGCACGCGAAAATTAGGTGCGAATTAGCCAACGAATTTTGTTGAATGAAAATAGGGTTTTTTTCAAAACATTTTATTACCAAGTGTATAAAATACTGATCGTGTTCATCTAGGAATTGGTCAATAATAAGGGCAATCAGCACGATGGTGTTGTCAAAAAAATGATATCATCATATGAAAAATGATGCGATTTTTCCATTAATTTCAAGCGACGAGTCTTAGTCGTGCTTTGCGGATCAGAATCAATTAATAATATTCTACAAATGATTTCCTAGCTGCAGCAAGAACGAGCCGCATGAATAATGAATGGCGTGTAATTTGCACGCGTATGGTTCGAACATAAGGTCTGTATGTCATTTGTGCTTATCGTCTCATGCTTGTGAATCCATCTTCAGCACGCATCATTGATTCGTCTGATTGCTTTGCATGATAAACCTATGCAATTACGTGCAAAGTGTTTGCAAACGCAGGAATACGCTGCAAGTGTAACACTTTTGTTGTAATCGTGAGCGTACATAATATTTTATGTGGATTGAGTTAATGGTGAAACAGATTGTGAGTGGGTATGAAATGTACTGGGGAAGCAAGGGATCCGTTCGTATGTTTATTCAAGAAAATTATAAATGTGCATTCATGCAAAACGCGCACATAAAAGCAAATTTATAACAAATTTCAAGCGAATGACAAAAAAAAACAGGTCAACAAAGACGAAATGCAAAGTGTTGAATAACTCGAAGCAAAGCAAAGCAGTGCCGTGTTGGGCCGTGGTCACAAAACAATTCATTTCGTTTTTATCTGATGCAGACTGTTTGCATGCATCCTTCCTTATGATTCCTCTTCATTTCTGTGAACGCTTTTTCTTTGTGTTGATTCCATATGCTGACACCTTTTCTTTGTGAGCGGAATGGAAGCGAGCGATAAAAAGTGGAAAAAGGCAAATTGTCATGAGCTATATAAATGCACATTTCTATAGAAATATTGTGTTTGTCAATTTTTTTTTTTTCATGAGTTACGCACGCAAATTAATGCAGTTCATCGTTAAAAATGGTGCGTATGCAAAGGTGTAGATGCAAACGTAGTGTTTCTATAGTTTACACTTTACAAATGCTCCCCAACGCAAAATGCTAACTCAATTGATCCTATCTCGAAATGAATTACAGCAAAATGAACCAAGCGACGGTGTATTTAAGCGTAATCTCCCTTTGAAAAGTAGAAAAGATGTAGATGCTTCTGATTGAATTTAATGACTTCCATTGGAACGCCGTTGTGAGTATATAAATGCAATGAATGAATGAGTTTCACACAATTTTTAATTATGTTCTTTTCCCATAAATCAAATGAGCATTTAATGATTAAAATATTTGTTAAAACAAAAGATTTTCAACATTTTGGCTTACAAAAATAAATAAACTATTCAACAAGTTCTATTTTCAGTTCATTTCACATTTGAAAGAAGCGCCCGTGGATTTTTATGGGAAAAAAATCGATATCATTCCGTGTTGGTTGTTCCAATTTCAGTCAGTTGACGTCGCTGTTGTCAATGGCGCGCACGTGTTTCGTGCACAAGCAGTAGTAATGCGAATGTAATACGTAGAACCAAGCGAATGTGAGCCAACTTCATGCCAGTCTCACAGTTCGTCAACACAAACATCGTCATTATCGTATTACGCTTATGTTTTCTGATTTGGTTTTTTTCTTCACCTTTTTTTGTGTGGACTACGAATTGAAAAATCCTTATTATTAGATCTGAGTTTCTTTTCAATAAATATACTATTTATATTGCCAATCTCATCAGTAGAACGTTGACATTTATTTGGAGTTGAAAATGATTAGTGACGACGAACGCGATATAGATATTGAGAGTGATGTAAGTCTCCAATTCATTCATAATAGCATTCATGCCGAAACTGATGCATTATATTGATTGTGTGTATGTGGTTGTTTTCTTCTCAATTTGCATTAGGATGACGTAGATTCCGATGGACGGACGCAATCACGGTCCGCTGTCTCCCAATATTCAAGTCAGGTAAATAGAAAAGAACATGCAGAAGAAAATGATACATTAAAACAAAGTGTGAAAATAGACTTTGTCAAGGCCATTTAAGTACGCAAAATCAAGACTGAAGAGCCATCACCACAACAAAACCATTCGTTGTTTTACATTCAAGATATGTGTTGATGAAGCAGTTTTTTGCTGTCAATTTTTGTGTTTACGTTTCGTTCTTGTCCGAAGTTCACATAAATTTTCTTAAATTGCGAATTGATCAAATGAATAAAACTGTTGTGAATGAAATGGCAAACGGTTGAATAGTTTTCGTTTTCAATTGACAGGCGGAAAAGCGAGCCCATCACAATGCCTTAGAAAGGAAGCGACGTGACCATATAAAAGACAGTTTTACAGCGCTCAGAGATGCGGTGCCGTCATTGCAAGGCGAAAAAGTGGTAAGTGATTCAACTCAATATTGGCTAGTTTACCATCGTTCACCAATAATAGATTGTTTTGAAACAGGCGAGTCGAGCGCAAATTCTTAAAAAAGCTGCCGAATACATAACATTCATGAAGCGAAAAAACCAAAACCATCAATCCGGTAATGACGATTTGAAGCGCCAGAACAACCACTTGGATCAACAGAGTGAGTAAATCTTATTGAATTAATCGAATGTTGATTGTTGAACGAGACGACAAAACAATTATGCCGATTTTTTTTTCTTCTGATTTCTAGTACGACAGTTGGAACGGCAGTTGAATGCAGCCGGTGAAAGTGAGTTGGCGGGTATGCGAAATGATCAACCTAGTTCCGAATCAGAAATGTCCGATATTTAATGCGATATCCGTTGTGCTTAAATTAAACACACGCACACGGACGAAATGCAGTTCAATCAGTGTATCGAATGACATTTTTTTTGTATTGATTTTTCTAATACAATGACGCTAATGTTAGGAACTATTACAAATTATTCTATTTTTTTCCTTTCGTTTCTCACATTTTGTGCGAAAGTATTATTCTATACACTTTTTACAACAACAAAAACCAATACCAACACAAAAAAAAGAAACAAAACTTTAAATTTTTTATATATACAATTATGAAACCGATTTTTTGCGGTACGAAAAAAGAATTAGTTTGATATTTTACAAATTACAACAAGAAATAAATAATTTTTTTTTAGAAATAAGTTTTTGTTCTATCGATATTAATCACAGCAAAAAAAGTAGAACCACCAAAAATTTAAATGAATATGTATCAAAATTAAGTTTTCAAACAATAAACATTTTGATTTTTCAACAAACACAATCCCGTTTGCATTTTGAATTGTTATCTAAATTGACTGTTGATTATTATTGTTGGCACACTCACACATAATTAATTTGTTAAAATGTTCTACGCCAATATTTCAAAACCCAAGTAAATTTTGATCAACAATCACAGTCTACTGTAGGTTCACTGGACTCTAAAATAAAAATAAAGACTTAGCAATCCAAAAGTTTGACTGAAACGGTCAAAATTTACCCATACTATACCCAAGTATACTAGCAAATGATGAAAGTGAATTATCTCAAGATATTGTTATTAAGGTATGGTTTTTTCACCATAGATCGATAGAGCATACAATTGTATTATTTAACCCATTTTCTACCAGCGTTAGATTTTTCGAACAAAGGTCATCCCTATCCATATCTCGACTTAGAGAAGGGCATGTGTTAAACATTATCTTTCAAAATGTGTAAGTCCCCTCGGCATTTGTTCAGGGGGTACTTAGGATAGCCCAGGGCGGAACCAACGTTATTATTTATTCATTACAATAATAATAAATAACGAGTATTAATTGTATTAGGTAAACCAAGAAGAAATGCACACAATTTAAAGTTCAACTTTTCATCTAAATGCTTGCCAACAGTGATTCAATAAATCTGGTGATTGGTGATGAGCAGTCAAACCAATCGAATTATCGTTGGATAAGCGAAATTGAAAATGAAATAAATTTCAATTTAATGGATTATCAACCCGGTTAAAAGGCAAACCGATGTACTTACTGAAGCGATATATTCCATTTGTGTTTCTATTAACTGCTTATCTGCCGAAAACTTTGCATCACACAAATCAGACATGCACTGTAAATGGAGTTTCAATGCTCCATAATCAACTCTCTCTCTCTCTCTCTCTCTCTCTCTCTCTCTCTCTCTCTCTCTC